AGTGCATGGCAACATTACACATACAATAACGAGCTGGTTAGGAGTCTTAATGGAAACACAAATGGAACTCTCATCTTACGAAACAAGGTTTCCATGTACCCTTTCTACGAAGACAGTGGCATATATAGCTGTAGCGTCAAAAACGGCGTTTCTGATGAATTGGGAAATTTGTGGCAGACTGGAACAATCAATGTGACCATTGAAGGTAAACAACTGTTTGATCAAATTAAATAAACTTAATCACAACCGAACAAAGCTTATAAGTGTATTGTTTTGTTTTTGTTAGACTTACTTTTGCCTCCAAGATCCATACTTGATTTGAACTAAAATAAGTGTCATACAAATAATCTGCTCCATGCACTGTACAGAATTATTCTAGATAGACAACCTAAAAGTAAACAAAAATCATGGTAAAATAACATATTGGCATCCATATTGTGCCCGTAGCGCTAAGACTAAAATAAACCTCTATGACTTAGATAAACATGATAAACAACAAATAAAAACTCAAAGTTGGCAAATTTTTTATAAATTTTCGTTTTGAGTCATCTTTGTTCAGTCATATTAAGTTACATGTTCAGATTCATTTATGCTTTCTTAACGTCCAGTGATAATTATTTCATGCAAATTAATGACTAAAAACTATTTACAATTCATAAAATAGAAATGTTCTGCAAGGTGGAACGACATGGGGAAGGGCAGAAAATTTGAATGCCATTGTAAAATAATGCAATGTATGAGAGGATAAGAAATTGTGCTATGCAACAGACCACCTTAGGACCCAAAGCATACATCTGTGTCCACATCTTCTTACTTTTTTTATGAAGTAGGGGGAATTGCATTTGTAAGTTAAATGAAGTGTTTGTACAAAAAAAATATTATGTATTAGCATTTTAGTTCAGGCTTATTTATCACTCTAGCAAACAAAGTTTTGAGGGTATATAGGAATCACCCTGTCCGCCCTTCGTCTATCTATCTTTCTATCTGTCCTCTTTTCATGTGCCTTGATAGTGCAACTCTCCTTTAATCATGGACGGATACCCATAGATTTAACACAATTTTTTAAATTCTGTAGATGTACAGAAACATGAGAAAGGAATATATTATCGGTTCAACAGTAAGATTTAGAATTTTAGTATAGTACCTTTATTGATTGAAACAATGCATATTTTCAAATGTTTGTTTACTACTAATTTATATAGGGAAACCTGAACTAGCTATACCACATAATAAAATTTACATCGGACATTTGTATGCAAAATCCATTATGAGGATATTTGTACTAAGCTCATCAAAAGTATCAGGAACAAGGTGGATTACTGAAATCAAAGAACGTCAAGAAAATACAACTTGTATCCCGTCTGTTGCTGTAACTCAGTTTTTTGGGAAACCCGTCAATACAACTGGCTTCATTTGTGAATTTCAAATACAAAATACAACATTGAAAGATTTTCAAAATTACACTGTTGATGTAGAGAATAAATGTGGAAAGAATACCTTCGAAATTGCACTCATATTAACAGGTAAGTATTTATGTGCTTGTAATATATATTGTTTAAATCTATTAAAAAAAAGTATTAATCAAATGTATGCTTACCGTACATGCATGCACAATATCAAACATATTAATTCCACAAATTATTTTGCCTCAACAAAATCGACACGTCAAATGGTAATTTGACACGAGGGTAATTTTTACTGAATTTGTTTTTTCATCGAATTGATTCATCTTTATAACAATAAATGGCATTGCCGTCTTTTCTTACATGCATGAAGGACATCGTGTGTTACATTATGTATGCTTTAGATGCATTGAAGAAAACCCAAACCGACTTGTAAAACATGAACATTGAAAGATTTTAGTTGAAAAATTAGTCTAGTCAGTAACCGCGGTTTCTTTTTCTAGATTCAACGTACCATTGGTCTGTCGCTAAAAATAGACTCATCAAATTGTATTTAATTGTTTCCTTTGTGTATTAATTTCATCAAGTTTGAGTTAGCTAATTTACTGATATCTGTTCACAAATGAATTTACTTATAACATACTCACCCCTTCTCGTCTAATTTTCATAGTACATGGCTTTCCATAAGAATAATTCGACTGGTTAAGCATCTCAATAATAAGAACTCTCATTGATGTGTGATCCATATATCTTAATTGGATAAAAGAAGATGCGGTATGAGTGCCAATGAAACAACTCTCCATCCAAGTAACAATTTGTGAAAGTAAACCATTATAGGTCAAAGTATGGTCTTCAACAGGGAGCCTTGGCTCACACCGAACAGCAAGCTATAAAGCCCTGAGATGACTAGTGTAAAAGCATTCAAACGGGAAAACAAACGGTATGATTTATATAAAAAAAACGAGAAACGAGAAACACCTATGAACCACATCAACAAACGACAACTACAGAACATCAGATTCCTGACTGAAAACAGGTGCAAAAAAATGCAGCGGGGTTAAACGTCGTTTTAATAGTTACTAACCTTTATCATTATCTGAAACAATAGTGTAACATCACAACATAGAAAGTCAAACTATAAAATATCAATTGAAATAACTTCATTAACTCAATTAAAAGAATATTAATACCAGTGAACATACACTGAACAAATAAATAATTTGATCTATGATACAATGTAAATACATAATCAATAGGATGAGGGATAAAAAAATAAAGATAACAGTAGTATACCGCTGTGAGATGTTAAACAATTTAAAAAACAATAACCTTGAACAAAAAGCCGCTTAATACAAAAATATAAACAGGGAAATGGAAATGATTTTGTTGTAAGGTATACTTTTAAAATGGAGAAAGGAAATATTTTTTACAAAATAAATAATTTTGTTGTTCATCGTACGAAGAAGTGAAAATGTATAGTCATACCAAACACTTATCAAAGCTGGTATATAAACGAGATCTAACCCCGAAAAGGTAAACATTGAATAACAAAAAAAGCATTACAAATGATATCAACAGGTCAAATTAACAAGAAAGTACGATTTGTGAGTACTCGCATTTCCTCACAGCTAGTTAAAAGTCAAAAACAATTAATAATAACAAATCCTGCATCAGAGACTAAAATCAACTAAAACACATCCCATGGATTCAGTAGTTTAACGTCATGGACAGTCAAAGAAGACATGATTTGTGCAATGCCAAAAATAAATGTATCGACAGGCAGTAGGATAGTTAGAAGTTAACCTCTTGATAGAAAAAAAAAGAATGTGGATGTGTCTTAATACATCCCGTTTGAAAAGAATACAAATGTAGTTATGTTTTAATCTGCTGGTGACAAAATCGATATATATTCAAAAATCTAATTACAACATTGGTAAGATAACCTTTCCTAATCAGTTTGTTTAAAGATTCGATGAGTTTACACGTATCACATAGTGATTTCCACGCTTTAAATACAATATAACCGTAAAATTTTGGATGTGAAATGCCGTATTAAATAAGTTTTCTAAAGGTACAGCCAAATGCACTTATCAAATCTTTGTATCTATGAAAGAATCTAGTAAAAGTTTTAAGGTAACGACATGCCTGACAAATTTTTTTACCAGTAATACATTGATTACGTTCGTTATAATCTATGACTTCACTACACACACGGGCATAACAAACGAGTTGGGATATATAAACACCTTTTGACTGAGCCAAAGGAACATTATCGTCTTAAAAAGGAAAATTAGCAATAGGGAATGAAAAGTCGTCTCTTCTGTCGTAAATTTTAGTATGGAGTTTCCCTTTAGAAATTGAAATGTCTAAATCTAGAAAGGGACAACTACTGCTGTTTATGTTAGATTTAGTTAAAGTAGGTTCCTTTGGGTAAATTTCAGGAGTATATTTAGAGAACTCTGGATTATTTAACGAAAAAATATCATCAAGATAATGGTAGGTATTGTTTAATGTATCAACAAAAGCACATTTTCATAAAAAAACGGAGTAATTGTCTCGCATCTGTGTTCATTATTAAAAAAATGCAAAAATAAATAAACGCACAAAGTTATAGTCTGGTACCTTTTATGTTTTATGATGATGTTTTCGTTTTGAAGATTTTCATTACCTCGCACTAGGATAAAAGTGGTTGGGTGTTAAATGTCATGACATAAGGACCCTGCAACACGACATACAGAAACTAGAAAAGACATCATCAGTTCAGAAGACGTCGAATCAGCAAGTTTTTTTGTCGAGTGTTTATCTACGTTTTGTCCCCCAGTCTGGGCCATTTGTACTGTGAAATAAGTAGAAAATAGTTTAAATGTATGTTTTCAAAGAAATTAAATCTACGTCTGCTTTTGTAGATTTCGGAAAACCAGAGAAACCAAAGGGTGTTGTCATTTATTCAAGTTCAAAGTACATCTTCCTTCAATGGCAATCTGGTTTAAATGATGGATCACGTCAATCTTTTATCATACAGTATCCGAAAAGGTCAAGCAGTGCTTGGGAATATCTCAAAGCAGAAAATTCCAACAACACCAACCATAGTATATACATCCTCAATCTGGAACCCAGCACCAAATATGAAGTACGAATGTATGCATCGAATGAACTTGGAAACAGTTCATATACAAAACGTATCATCTCAACGAAAAGTATGTTTTATCAACCAAATAAAAATGAATATTTTAAAGCGCTTATATAGGAATAAGGTTTACTTTCCACTACATTCTACATAACTGTTCATATCATTTTATATACATGATCGTTTCTTTGTTAATATGTTTATGAACCATTAAATGTTAAAACGGAAGTTAAAAACTTTTAAGAAAAGATATTTTACAGAAATTTAAAATGACACTCTATCTCACATTACTCTTACATTTGTTCAAAAAAAATTATGAAATAAATCTATGAATTAATTACTTAGTCCTTATTCAATGATTAATAATCCTTTCTTTCTCGTCTGATGCTTTTTTAATAAATTTGATTTAATATTGAAACCAAAAACGACCTTCTAACCTTTTAGATTTGAATTATATGTTTTAGAAGAAAAATCGAACGAAAACAAAAGTTACTGGACGGAATTTCTTCTCGTTCTGGTTGTTATAATTCCCGTTTGTATTATTATCATATGGTGGCGCTTAAAGAAAGGTATGTTAAACTATATTTTCAGATTAGAAAAAACGTTGGCGTTGCCTTTAAAATTTTCAATTTAAGTTATAATGACACAAATGTCTTTTGCAGCTTTCTTGACAGAGTAATATATCCAAAAAGTAAAATCACAAAAATACTGAACTCCGAGGAAAATTCAAAACGGAAAGTCCCTAATCAAATGGCAAATGATAAGACACATCAAACGAATGTACAACAATTGTCATATTCCTGACTTGGTACAGGCAATTTCAACATATAGTTTCAAAGCTTGGAATGTTAACTGTCAGTAATGACTTAAAATCACTAGTATTTATAATTTTAGAGAAATTAATGAGTTTGTGTAATGATTTAATAAAAAGACTCCCAATGCAGTTTGCGGGATTTTCAAGTAACTGTTTTATCAACCAGTTGTTTTTCCTTGAATTCATTCAAATGATAAAAAACAGTTATACAGCTAATCTATTATTTTTTATTCAACAGCTTGAAAGGTTCAATTGATTAACGATACTGATATAGCACTCTAAACTTACAATTTTGAAATATTTACGTTTTTAAATGGGGCCATCATTAATTTTTTCTAAATAAGCTTGTTTTTCCAAGCTTGTTTCAGGAGTTTTATATAGTCACGAAACCAAACCGCAGCTACTTTAAAATTATATTTGCTTTTACTCGCGAATAACATACACATTAAAACAAGCTCTTTTATCTGGATTGAAGTAAGTTCAATAAAACATGTTTGTGACCTCAGTATTATATCAAATATTTTCACAGCAAAGAACAGATCGCCTGACAAGTATATTATTTGCCTTTTTGTACTTTACTTCTGCTTGTTTGTTTTTACTGATATCTGATTTGTAAAAACATTCCTTCAATATTCCTCCGATATAGCTGTCGGCGTTTTAAAACACTGATAGTATAACCATCGGAAGCAATTCGGAATGTATAAATAATGATTTTAATATAATTTGGTGCTGTTTCCATTATTTCAATTGTATACGATATCTCTTCATGCCAGACAGTTAAAGTTTTAGACGTAAAACGTGAGGCCAGTCTAATGTTTTGAATGTTTACAATTTGATAGTCTAGAAAGACGAAATATTGTATTGAAGGAGCGTCATTGGTGGACTATGTGCCTCTAATTATTTATAAAAGATATGTAAAACTTTTTTTGCTGTTCCGTCAAATGATGTTTTCTTTATATGGGACGTTTTAAACTTCGTTCCTTCGTGATAGCTGCTCTTTATTAAACAATCTTAGAGTATTTTCGTTCATAAGGTTTCGTTGTGATAGGATAGTAAAGAAAAAAATCAATTGAACATATTTCACAAAATACTCGAATCAAACAAATCATCATAGATGACAGTTTCATATGGTCAACTACATATGATGGCTAACAATTCCACCTAGTATGACAGTTTTCTGTCAAACAGTATTAGAGGAGCTGCAGTCACAGGGAGTCATTGTAGGACAGAAGGACAGATATGTCAATGTCTTATAACTCTTATTCGAATCACCATGGCGTTATAATATACTAGTATACATTTATATATAACATATATTTTATATGATGAAAACAAAACCCAATCCTAACTGGAATATATTACACCAACAGCTGTATCCAAATAACACCTAATAATGTTGATGCGTCCGAAGCACCTTTAAGAATGTACATTCATCAGAATCGAACCAAGCCGATTATCTGAGAGGCAAGAATGTATAAGTACCGAAATAGATTGAAACAGAAATGAGCAAACAGGACATAAGAATAATACATCCAAATATATCTAAATGATCTTAGTTCAACTTTGTCTGATGGAGTTGTGGCCTTCGTTTCTTAATAAGCTTCTGATTTACATGCGGATAATTTCTTAAAAAGGTATTTTATAAATCATGCTAGTACCGAAGCACTGATTATTATTATTCCCTGTAAACCCAGGGAACCGATAGTCCATCATCCGCAGTATCGACCCAGCACTCTAAAATTATATTGTATTTGTCAAGTCTTCAAAATGGTCAATTGACATATATAAATGATTTTTTATTTAAAAGATGTAAGCCGTCTGGATATAGAACTAATAGTCATATTCGATAATTCAGAGCGTTTATATGATTAATTAAGACCAAATATAACAAAACGTCAACCAATGTACCAAAAAAGGAAAGAGGCCATATAATAAAAATGTGTGTCATAGTCGTTTTCAAAAAAAATTCTACTGGCTAAACTAACAAAAAAATCATGATTCATGATTCACATTTCAAAATCAATAACTATAATCACAAAGCTACTAAGGTGGGAAAATGTCTTCTAAAAATCATTTTGAAATGTCCTAATTTTTAAATTTGCCATTGGTTTTTTTTTATTAAAAAGGACTGAACTACGTTATACGTTGATTCACAATATCATGAAACCAGTCACTGCAATAAGATGCCACAAATAATAGCGATAAGTTCATTCTATTGGATGCTGATAAAATTGATTATCTATATAGATATATTATGTATGTTGATTCATAAATGCAATCTAGCAAAACTTGTTTTCAAAAAGTGAGATTAACGAATATCAAATTGTAATAAAAGAATTAAAAAACAAAAACAAAAAATATGCATGTGATTGACATCCATGGCCTTTCATTTCTAACAAAAAACCATAACCATAACATTTTCATTTCAAAAGAGCTATATTTGTAGTCTTTCAACGCATATTTCTAAAATGGAATATATTGATTTTTAATAATTAGCTTTCGCACGAGAAGATCTGCATGATTTACTAACCATATTCAAAAACAATTTTCTAAAAATTCTTGAATAGTTTTCAAGATTTATTAAATAACAATATTCTGCTAATGAAACCAAGGTAACCAGTTTGTTGAAAAGACGGCCTTGTCACATTATGAGTTCGCAATGTATATTCAGTAGTATCATTTATTTTCCAGATTTGGTTAATATAAGTTTTTCAAGCGTTTTTTGTAATTGATTGAATTTCCTATTGAGGTTATGGGTACACCAATGCTTTATGGCAATTGGAGTTATGATAACCATCGCAATGGTATTGATAGGTGTATCAATTTTTGAAAGTATGCATGCAATTTATTTGTACATGTCAACCAAGAAAACTTTAATCCATTTTTATTTATTTTTATCTTTTTAAGTAAAGGTAAAGGCAGCGGCCATTACCATGTTTAACTCCGTGACATTCTTTATGTGCGTGTCCCAAGTCAAGAGCTTGTAGCTCAGTATTTTCCGTTGGTCAATGTCGGTCATTTTTGATTTTCGTAAACTGTTTTGTTATGAATCTTACCGTTTATTTTCTCAATTGAATTTTTTCATATATTTCATGTCGGAGCTTTTTATAGCCGACCATACGGTATGGGGTTTTCTCGTTGTTGAAGGTCGTACGGTTGCTTATAATTGCTTACATTCACTTCATTTAATCTTTGGTGGATATTTATCTCAATGGCTATCTAAATACAATATAATAATGGTTGTCCCTTTAGTAGATTTGTTAAGAATTTATTATTGTTATTTTCATTTTTTTGAGAGTTTTAATGGTCAATGACAGCTGGAATGTTCATAGAGGATTGGAAATTTCATTATTCATGTCATTAGCTGGTTGTTCTGTCATATTTCTTTTCAGAAGTTTTTTCCAATGTTTAATCAGATATTTTTCAAGAAAATGTGCCAATGTATTCCGCTCACACTTCAGTATCTCTATATTCTGTGAATTCAGAATCAAAGTCGTAATCTTGTTATGTAGTTAAAAGTGTTTCGTGTTTATGTGACCATACCTTCAAAATAAGCTACTATGACCTAAAATCTTAACCTGATACGGTTGGACAAACACAATACCGAATAGATACATCATGCCCGTCTATTTTAGGTTTGACATATAAACTGTTAGAATTTAGAACATATTCTATTACACAACGTTTGCCCGTACTCGTAAACAAATAGTAAAAGAAACAGACGGGTTTTCACCCATGTTTAAATATATAGTAGAAATTAACTTATATGTTTGAAGACGTTAATGAGGGCATTAATGATGATTATTGTTTTTGCCACTTTTATTAATCATAAAAAAAGACATTTTCATATTTTAATATTACATGTATGATTTAGAAATATATTCCTACTATTGTATATTTTGCAGTTCTCATAGAGCAAATGACGACTATATTCAAGAAGAAGGTAAGTGTTCCACTTTGTTGTAAGCATTAAGAGTTTATGTTGATCATCAGGCATAGGTGTTAATTCGAATAAGATATTACCTTTCACATTCTACATTAACTTGACAAATAAATAAAATAAGATATCAGTTTACTTAACATAGTTTTATTGATTGTAGATTTTACTGACTTGGATACGATTAACGTATATTATTTATTTTCCCTCTTACGTTAATTCATTTTTATCGAAAGGGGGGTGTTCATTGTAAACAACAATTTTTCGTTCGTTTATGCAGTATTATAAGAATGAGTATCTCGCAGAAAGATGTATTGAATAGGAACACTTTTTGGTTGTTTCAGTTATATTATTGTTGAGTTCATAATAAATAAAATAGTAAAATATGAATTGAATTAAATTAAATAAATAAAATTAAAACCAATTTAACAATTTGTCTGTCAAAGATCGTAAAAAAAGGTAATTTTGTTAAAAATGAATTTAACGTTATGTCATTTAAGGTGGTGCTATTGAGAACAATTTGTATCAAGTGGCAAATGATCTAATACAACAACCATCAGTATCTAGTAACAGAGAGGACGACGCCTATTCCAGTATCGACAGACGACAGCAAGTTGTACATGAGCAAAACGTGACATACCAGATTTCCAAAAGAGGTAACAAATCCATTATAGGTTAATGTACCGCCTTGTTATCTCTGTACCGATGTAATGCATTGGCTTTATGGGAATAAAGATATAATAAAAACACGGAGTCTTGGCTATGAATTAATATAAATTGTTATATTAAAAATTAACTTACTTATTCATTTGTTATTTTAATGGAACGATTTCCATCCCTTCAGAATACAAGTAATTATGGAAGTGCTGCAAGAAATAAAGTGATAAAACTAAAACTACATAAAAAAGATTTGGGTTGTCATTAACATCTAGTGAAACATCAATGTTTACCCTTCATTAGGTGTTTTATATACATGTATGATGAGAAAATAATGTATATTACAAGTGTTCTATGGTTCTATATTCATTAACTTTGAATTTGAAGATTGTTGTGTTTCATCTATACATATTTTGCAGTCAAAAGAACAATAGGAACATACATATATGGAAAATTGGTCTTTTAAAACCGTTTCTCTTTTATAATTTGCGTCTCTCAGTTGTTTTGTAATAAACTATCATTTTAAACTGTGCATTTATTACAGATCAAAAAGAGACCCAAGACCAGCAGCAACGTAGTATGAACAATGTAAGAATGTTGTATCCTTCATAAATTAGATTAAAGTTAACCTGGATAATCCTGAACGAATTTTTATAATATGATGCAATCTTAATTTCTATTGTTCAATTTTATTCTGTTCTGATGTACTTACTTCGTATGAGCAATACTCTACCATAAGACATGTTCACTACACACTTAGTATTACATTTTTCATACATTGTTCCTACTTGACATTTTTTAGTTCTATTTGAAATATTTGAAAACAATAAATAGTCCATACAGGTCATTGCACAATATGTTGTATTAGGGAGGGCATTTTGTCTGCTGAATCTCTGATTATTTGAACAAAGGTTGAAAAAAAAAATAAACGATACAATAGTTAATTTACAAAAGCAAACCTTTTTGTTTTACCTCTTAATAAAAACAATGTGAAGAAGAATGTGTCCATATCGCACTATCATTTTCTATGATCAGTGGACCGTGAAATTGGGGTAAAAACTCTAATTTGGCATTAAAATTACAAAGATCATATCATAGGGAACATGTGTACTAAGTTTCAAGTTGATTGAACGTCAACTTCATCAAAAACTACCTTGACCAAAAACTTTAACCTGAAGTGGGACAGACGGACGAACGAACGAACAGACGAACGGACGAACGGACGCATAGACCAGAAAACATAATGCCCTTAAATGGGGCATAAAAATGAAAATATCCATCAATAGGATGATTTACTCCTTAAAAATGGAATTCAAAATTAATTATATGGAGTTACTAATTGTTTTCCCATGTCTTTTCGAAATAACGTCAAAAATGTGGTACACACTTTTAAAATAACACGCTACACTGGTTATTCGGTGTTCAGCACATTTTTAAGTTATTTTTTTTATAGAAACACAAAGACAGTCATTATTTCAACATTTAGCATGTTTAGGGAGTATAGTATTTATGGCAGATTTGTACTATCTAATCTCAGAATTATTTTTTTTTCTTTTTGGACCATTTAACTTCTGATTTATTAGGCTGTCTACAATTTCTTCAATAATTTATATATGTAAATACCGCAAAATGGGTAAAAACCCTTATTCAGGGGCAAATAAGCTCATCATAGATACTCATCATAGATACATTCCCTTTAGGAGCGACTGAGGATTTTGACTATTTGACGTATTCATAGAAATGGTTCTGTTAACAGTAAATGGTTAACGAAAGAGTTATGTTTTTCTACAATTTCAGAAAAAATTGCAAAACAATCGGTATGAAAATCCTCATTCAAATGCAACAACTGCATGTATGAGGAGACGATTTTTTTTGTATATTATTGTCTCATCTAAAGACTATGTCCTGCTGATGTTTGTTTTCTATAAACATTTTCAGTCTTATCTGTAATAGTTACCAGATAGTAGAGAAAATTGAAAAAAATGTTGAAATTGGCATTAATGGCATTAATGGCATATGCTTCGAATCACAGACGATGACGAGAGACAATGAACACCAAGTGATGAGAAAAGGTCACGTTGAATCTTTGGGCCAGTTGAACTAGAATTTAACCAATAAAAATATAGAAAATGTTTTTCAGTATTGAGATTTTAAAAACACACGTTAAAAACTGTTTACTGTCTAGCCCCTTTTAATAAAGTATTAAGCACAAATACCGAACTCAAAGTTATACTTAAAATATAGGGAACATAAATCTTTTGCTAGATTGACAAGTGCATATGTTTTGAATTTTGAAGTGAATGATATGCAAAAATTCCAAATACCGTTTCGATCCCTAACATCACTGAAGAGACATTAATTGTCGAAATCCGGATATGGTGTACAAATTTTTGCACCTTATGTTTGCGATATACCATCTTTTCCGCAAGTTTATTGTTTTCTGTTTGGTATTAAATTTTTAATTAAGATCCATGTTACATCTGGTGTTCAATTTATTTGGCAATCGCCAATGGCAGTCAGCAGGGTTTAAGAACATCAGTTGTTCGACCTGTTAGTCAAATGCGTTTTGTTAAAATATACTTTTCACTTTTTGGTCTTTTGGAAAATGTTGTTTGTGCTGTATTTAGACCCCTCTACCAAGAAATTTGTTTTACATGCACACGTATAAAAATTGCGGTTTTTATCCAACGCTATCATAGGTTTGAACGTTGTTTTCAATTTAGACTTGTTTATATATATATATATATATATATATATATATATAATTATGTTGGGTTTTTTTCATCAAAATTGGTTTCATTTTTTTTTAATCATATCCATACTAACATTGCATGTAACAGTTTGTTCTAAAATGTCATTTCAATATTGTTGTAGGGTTTGGATACTCAGAATCTTAATTATGTTGAAGTTATGTTTGACAATACAACCAATAATGGAGCATTTTGCATACATGGAGCTGATACAAGAACTCCATACGCTGATATTGATTTTTCAGCAAAAGCAGACCCTTTGATTATTTTGGAAGAGAATGAAGAAAGTCTGTCTTCACACAGTGTAGAGAATGACGATTTTGTTTCTTTAGAGGAAGTGCAACAGTGGATGATTTCCAAGGAATAAATATCTTCCGTACGATTAATACAGGTATTGGTCAGCAAAACTAAAAACAAACAGCTTTGCATCCAGGAAATTTATAAAATATTGTTATCATTTTTTAATGAAACTGTCTTACAGCCTTTGCATGTTATGACAGTGTTTAGTTCCTATTTTGTTTTTAAATCGAGTGACTTGTACAGGTTATCCGTAGGAAATCATTTAGTAATTTTATTTTTTGTTTATCGTGTTGTTACCTCATAATCCTAACAATATTATGACTTTGATCTTAATTATTGTGTGGGTTCTCTAGTCAAATAGATGTTGACATTGCTTCATGCGTTGACAAGTATCCTTTCGTGTGCTCTAGTTTTAGTGTTACAATGGAAAGTACCAATAACTCCTTAATATGCTTCATTACACATTTTTAAAACATGAAGACCTTAGCTTGTTTTGATGATTTGTTATGGTCCCTTTCAGTTATATAACAAGTCAATTGTTCAGGTACTTATACATCCTTAGATTTAACAGTTTTAGGTCTAAGCAATTCTGAAGATTGTGTAATATAGGAAAGATCTTCGGATGCACATACTGTATACATTATGTTAAAATTTATCTTATCCTGCAATTAAGTGTCTATAATATCATACAGCCCAACAGATATCGCTATGCTGTATCTGTGTACTATACATATATCGCTTTCATGCTCCGCCCACTACCGGACTACGTTTGTGTTTTGCTGTTGACGAGTGTTGTATGAACCTGTGTGACCTCATAATGTGTAGTGCAGTCGCATTCCAACGACGTAATGCTTGACCTTATGTGAACTAAAGATTAATTAACGCATTTCTGTAGAGCAATATGAATAAAATCCATTTTCTGCTATAAGACAAACATGAATAGCATGATTAACTCCATTTTTTACGGCGCCAAACATCGAGTGAATGTGAACATATGTAACACACAAAAACAACCATGCAACAATGTCAATTTCAGCATGTAAGTGAATGTCACGTTCAGTTCAAAATTTTGAAGCGCAGGACAAATCAGACACCTTTGATTTAAATCGGACTATGTTTTGTTATTTATTTTCACTGTCAAAATAAGTTGTTATGTTATAATAAATTACTGTTTACTTTGAGCGATGTATTATTGTTGACCATTCGAGATTCTTTCCTGCGAACCCGTCACCATCTGAATGTGCGATTTTAATATTACTACGCGGGCCTCAAAGGGTTTTAAATACAAAATAAATGCAATAAATGTGAGTTTTTCTGTCTTTTAAAGCAAAAACAAGATATAAAATGAATTGCAGGATAAAGATAATAACTGGTTAGTGTCTTTAAATATCAGCTGTATTTGTACTCGGCACGACCTGTTTCTCAGCCTCGTAAATACAGCTGATATTAAAAGACACTAACTAGTTATTGTCTATACATTACATTAGGTTAACTCGCACTAGATCGTCTGTTAAAATTGGTTTGGAAAAGAAATCTTGTCGATTACTTTCTACCTTACGACATGGAATGCAATATAATGTATTTTTATTTCTTATTCTAATTTACTAGAACACAATTCAATGCAAAAAAAAAAAGTCGAGAAAAAAAAAGATAAAAAAATTCCTAAAAAGTATACGTACACATTGTCTCCAACAAGTGACAATATTGTATAATCTGATATCACGCCTTAGAGTTCAGGCAAGTTGTCAGGCTATTCTAACATGTCTAAAGGGTAGAATATCAAACGGCTATTTAATAAAGAAAACACTAATCTCTCTGAAATAGGGACGAACAATTCATCTTGAACCTACAACTTGGACCCAACAAAAAGTTGTTGAAAGGACCCGGCTGACCATGCAAAGTGTAAATAGTGACAGTGTAGAAATGTTTATACAATTCTCTTCTTATCTTTACAAATAGCTTTTAACCAAAGGTCATTGTTTTAAATATAATCATTACAAGTCTATTGTGCCTAATTCGAAAACGATTACGAGGCTTAAATCTGATGATATTACATCAGAAGTAGATTTTAGATAAAAACTAATTTCATTATATGTGCTTAATTAGTTATAAAATAACCTGAATCAACAAATACTGTTGATATTTAAAGTCTAGCATATTAAGAACAGAGATAAACAGTTAATTCTTTTATAACAGTATGCATTTTAACACATTGAGTAGGTTCAGATAAAGTTTAATTGTTTTTATTGGTTATTGTTTTTATGTATTGTTTCAGCTGATACATTTAACGGATTATACAAATGTAAGAATTCGAAAGAAGAAAAAAATCCGTGTAAACTGATTTTTAAGGCAATAAGAAGAATAGTTGACAAAGTTTGATTAATTGTTTACACTTTTCTTTATCTGTGTATATATGTTGTGTAAGTGCATGTTGTTTACACTAATCATTGTTTTATATTTGTCTGGTAAATAAATTTTGTACATTTCTTATTGTTTTACTTTTACTTTTGTTCTTGTTTTTTTACATCTTAAAGTTTTGCCATGAAGTCCAACTGGTAATCAAATTTATAGGATATATATGCAGATAGGCATTGCCTGCGTATTTGACGGTGTCAAAATACTAGAATTAAACACCAAACGTGAAAAGAAACATCACAATTATATAAATACTTGAAGACATTAGACCTGCATGACAAAACGTGTTTGAAATACATAAATCGTAATGTGAATAAATGAAACGTGAACCTAAAGAAATAAACTTTACGTTCGTTCTATGCAAAACAGTTTAGGCATATAAATACTGGCTAGAACATTTTTGAAAATTTGTATTAACAAGCATCTTTAAAAAAAACCCATGATTGATTTCATTATAATCAACACTTGATATAGCTAGCTTTGAATGATATTGCCGGTCGAAACAAGTTTTACAAAAGACGATATCTCCAACCTGCATCTTGAAGCTATAGTCAATGTCTAAACAGACGCTCATATTCATTAACAGCTACGGTCAAATATAAAACTGCCTGCAAGACTATATATAAGGATCGCGCATGTCATTAGATCTTGGCATACCCGTTCATAACGTTTTATTAAACGTAAAAAAAATATATTTAAAAGAAATGGAAGAAATACACACGAAATGAACCGTTGAATGCACAAAAAGTACAAACAAGTTTGCTCTCCTTTAGAAATGAAACGCTACACCGTATGATTTATTGAACAACATAGAACGTTCTATTTTCCTTTTCGAAATTTCTTACTACATACACAATAATACCCTTACATGTTGGTAACATGAGCATTACCGGAAGGTGGTGTTCGTCACGACGGAGAAAGTGTGCATACTTCTTTCAGACTGATGCAAAAATATCTATTAATAATCATGAACAATCATTAAGTAATTTGCAATATTTAAAGGTGAGGAAACAGAGTGAGATTTTTTAAACAAAAGTGGCAAGGCACCAATATTTATCTCGCATTATAATTATTTTTCATGGTCGTATATTATGATTTGGTTTTTTTATTCTAATGAAAAAGCAATGTTAAGAATAATCATTTCTAGTTACTAAAAATAAAATAAAAAGCCAAAAACGCAACCCTGAAACTGAACTATGTGGATGAAGTTAATTGCATGGGAAAACCAAGACGTATGTACCTTACAATATACAACAAATCAGACTTACTGATGCTTCCTATCGAATTAATAATCCATAATGTTCTTTACATTAATGAAGGAGATCTTATTGAGAAAAAAAACCCCGAGGAGATAACGTTTACAAAGTTTGGATAAGTGTTTCGATACGCAGGGTTAGTTTGAAATTGATATCATGTACAAAATATCGTATCGACACATTGCGAAAGAAGTATTTTGGGTTTTTCCATCTTTGATGCTTTTGCTAAAAGAATTTCAGGTGTCCTATAGCTATGTTTCCCCATGCCAATATTTTTCCGGGGGTTACTCGATTGGTCTATCCCCCCAAAAAACCCAATTGCCATGATCCAACTTCTCCTCCTCAGCGTGATGGTGGAGATCAATGATCAGGCATTTTTCCAATCCCTAGTACTAGGGCCTCTATAGAATTTTGTTTCATTGAAAAATAATCAGATAAAACATTTACTATTTCAAGGTACCTTATGCTAAAAATGAAATGAGACAATAATTTTCATTTTGTTGTTTGACCTTTCATCCCAAGCATCGATCTGATTTCTTGTAATTCACATTTTCTTCTGCCGATATTTAATTATCTAGCAACAAGACTTTATAGCTTACTTATATAACTACAACAGCACCAGTCATAAACAGAAGGTGCTGAAAAGGTGAAACAACTTATCTATTCTGATGACTTATGCTTATTGTATAGTTTTTTTTTCAGAAAGGAAATATAGAAAAAAAAAATAAGTATTAAAGAATATCAATTTTCACAAAAGAGTGAAAATTTACAATTTCAGATATTACGATTTTTCTTATCTTCGCTGAACTATTTGACCAAAAGTTTAAACAAATGTTTTTTATTCTGATTTGATAAGTGAATACATTGTTCTTTAATCTTATCATTAGGGGCGTGCAGCTGAAGGCGCGGTGTGCGTGTCAAAAAACAGGGGGAGGCATCCAACTTCAAGGATTTTTTTTTTATTAAGATCAAAATGGAAATGTTAGCTGAACTCCTGTTGAACCTGCACATTGCAGATCAGCACCGGTTATATATAAATATAGAATATTAGCACTCATTACTTGAAGCAAAATAAAAAAAATCGCATGTAAAGTTATTTGGGTTTTTTTTCAAGAATTAAAACAGAACTGATGGATGAACGGATTAATATCTGTTTAACATCCAGCGTCAAATTAAATATCTACTCAAGACGAAAACATGATTATATATTTTAAATATAAAGCCTTCTTTGTAACCTTGGTTTGAACCGGTCGGAGTTCGAACCCACGACATCTTACACTCGAGGAAAATAGTATGTACTGGTGTATAGCTAAAAAGAAATGGAGACAAATTCACGAACCCCACCAAAAACTGGGGGTGAAAATAGTCTTTAGATGACTTTAATATGGATGATATTTACAATTTGAAATGCATGCTAGTCGTAGATGCTTACCTGAATATATACGAGTATTACCAATGGATGCTTGATTCCGGAAACTGTGCGTTGTGTACCGTTCGTCGATATTTATTTTGTACGTTCGTTGTATGTTTTCGTCATAGTTCATAAGTAGAACATTGAGAACACAACTAGCTGTTTCCATTGAAATATCTATCTTTTTTTTGTCTGCAAGCATTTTCAACTAATAAAACATTGAAATTTCTAACTTTTCATATTGAAGATCAAAACAACCTGAATCGTGTATTTGTTTGACGTGAAACAGAACTTACTGGAGCATCAGGAGCGCCTGATTGCAATTCAGTTTCTTAAAATTCCAGCATTTTGATCTTGAGCTCAATGGTCAAGCTCACACGAAAGTCAGGTTGATATACATCACATCGCCTTAAAGTTATAGACGTTCATGCATATATATTCAAATATTTTTGGTGAGTTTGTTACTACTGTGTCATTGATCCGAAAATTTACATGAATATAACGTATTTTAATAGCGAATTTACCTTGAAAAGTGTTAGTACTCGCTTGAAAAAAGCTTTGAAAATTTATCACTACGTGTCATACATATTTGTAATATGTACAACGACAGATATTGAAAAAGGGAATGAATCGTACAGTCACTGTGCCAAAATTCTGAGGTAAGTTTTTCAATTAAATGTCTGCAAATAAAATTAAAACAACGGGTTACTCAATCTCATTTTGTATTTTAAACAACAACAAATCACAAAATAACCGGTCGCATTTAGAGTAAGAGCCAACCAGCTACGCTCCATTTTTAGTTTAATAAAGTTTGAGTTACACATAGCGTTTGTTTCGGGATGATTACTAGTAATTCACAGACCTGTCTATTTAAAATAGTCACAGGGTGTTCATGTAATATAAATAATATACAATGATGTCAGGAGCAGTACACTGTGTTATCAACTGGCTGTTTCTGTTTTTGCCCTGTTATAGATTCGAGGTTAGCTGTATTGGACCCGAGAACTCAAAGAGTCGAGGGCAAATACAGCTGATCGAGAATCTATAACAGAGCCAATACAGAAACAGCCAGTTCATAACACTTTTATTAAATGATTTTAGAGAAACTTACCGTGAAGAAGATACAGAATTTCATATCTGAACTTGGGAGAACATGTCTTTTGCATATTTCACGTCCATGGATTTTTTGTCAACATTTTCAGATGTAATTTCTGATTTCTTGTCCAATAACCCAAAAATTTGCTATTACAATTCATTTTATCCAGAAAAAAATAAAGTAGCTAGGAAGAATAAATCAGAGAGTTTAACTATTCTCACTCTTCGTGC